TGCTTGGTAATGAGTATGGGTCTCTCGGAGTATAAAAAGCGCATTACCCATCAACTTCTATGCTCTAAAGACCTATGAGGCCTATAATGTTATATTTTTCCTGGCTGTGTTGGTGGGCTATCTAAAAATTGTTCAAATAAGTTGTAGTCCTGTTAGTGGGTATTCCTTTGTCATTGTCAAATTTCATCTTGCTAAATACAACTAAAGGGACTCGGGTCAAAGTGACCTGAAAATGATGCTGTTTATCGCATGAAATTTGAAAAGTATATGCAGCCAGAAAGTTAATGTTATTATGGTTGTACAGGTAGTCTAGGTTAGTTAAATGTGCAGATTTGCCATTTTCATCTGATGGATGATATTTGAAATAAATATATATATATATTTTTTTTTATTTAGCTGTACAAATTGAAACAGAATTTAATTGGAGCATTTTTTTCCCCCAGTTGGACATTGAAATTAAGAAAAAATGCATTAGGATGAAACCTGTTTACTCAGTTGTTCCTGGTCATCATTTGAGTTAAGGCTTGTGTTTGATCAGGCACAATGAAGAGCAGATTTCACAGCTCGCCAGTTGATTAAATCCAATGAGCTGCGATATTATACAACTTTATAATTGTCTGGGTTTGGTCAGATGCATTGTGGGATAGGAGGTAAGCGGGTGAAGTAGGGTTTAGTAGCTAGTTGATCACCAGGTGATTAGCCAAGCCTCTGTACCGTACCACAGACTTTCATTCTGATGTAACCATGGATCAATAACAACACGAGTGTATATATCTCCCCGCACGACTTAGTGCAGCTTATCCGGGTATTGATATTCCTACAAACATACTGGGAAGGAACAACCTGCATTTGAAAATTGCAGGTTTATTCCCTATTTTCTGCAGGCTCTGTTCCAATGATTGGAAGAACAATTTTTTTTGATAACCATTATGACAAATTGACTTCTTCTACACTAGGATATGTACTTGTTATCTGTTGTTAGCTTATTTTATCACGGGTTTGATAACGCCTTTCTGGTAGTGTAGCCTTCGAATGTGTTTTATGTAGGTTTATAAATTCTCTATTCTACCAGACCCTTTAATTCCTCCAGGGAGTTTAAGAACTTCATTTCGTCCAAAAATATAAAACCTGTCCATAGAATTCATTTGATTAGTCAGTTATCTGTCTGAAAATTGAATTGTAAAAAAGAAAGAGTAAAAGCGGCACTGACCCTATCACATACACGGAAACCGGCACATAAAGTCCATTAAAATTGAAGTCCTGTTACACACACAATTAAAACAAATTATGATCAAATGCTAGGGGGATAAAAAGTGCAGTTGTATTTCTGAGGATCAATTCATTATCACTATGAACTGTACAAGCTGGTCTAGCCCACCAGCATTTCCTGCTTATAGTGGATAGCAAAAACGGGTACCATTGGTGTGAAATATTCTGATAAGCTTTTGTCTGGAGGCAGAAGGACCTGACCATGGACCTGATAAGAGTGTTGGTCCCCCTGAAGACAGAGAAAATACCTGATAGGACGGCAAGGAGATGGTTTAATTAGGGAGAAGTGATCCACTGGAGAGTCGGGGACAGTGGCTGATAGAGACATAGTCTGGAGATGGTATAAAGAAGGGGTGGTTATCTTATAGAGACAAACAGACAGTTCTTTGTAGGGACACTTACAGTATATGGGGATAGTAGAAAGGAAGTGATGGTCACTGTGGAGGCTGAGGAAGTCAGTAAAAAAGAAGTGATGGTCACCATGGAGACTGAGGAAAAGGAAGTGAGGGTCATCATGGAGACTGAGGAAAAGGAAGTGATGGTCATCATGGAGACTGAGGAAAAGGAAGTGATGGTCATCATGGAGACTGAGGAAGTCAATAAAAAGGAAAAGATGGTCACCATGGATGCTGAGGAAGTCAGTCCTAAGCCTCCACAGTGACCATCACTTCCTTTTTAGCTCACCTAGCACGAGGGGCCAAGTGAGCTTATGGCATGGTGTGGCGTCTGTCGTCCGTCCGGCGTTAAGTTTTTACTTTAAACAACTTATTTTCAGTAACCAAAAGGGCTAGGGTAATGATATTTGGCCAGAAGCATGCTGGGATGAAGGGCTACCAAGTTTGTTCCAATAATGACCTTCAACCATTTTCAAGGTCACAGGGGTCAAATATGTTAAAATCTTTAAACATCTTCTGAATAACAAAGAGGCCTAGGGTGATGATATTTGACCAGTTACATGCTGAAATGAAGGGCTACCAAGTTTGTTCAAATAAATGACCTTGGTTTATATTCAAGGTCACTGGGGTCAAATATGTTTAAAACCTTTAAACGACTTCTTTAAAATAACTGAGAGGCCTAGGGTGATGAAATTTGGCCAGTAACATGCTGGGATGAAGGGCTACCACATTTGTTCAAATAAATGACCTTGATTTATATTCAAGGTCACTGGGGTCAAATATGTTGAAAACCTTAAAACGACTTCTTCTGAATAACCAAGAGGCCTAGGGTGATGATATTTGGCCAGTAACATGCTGGGATGAAGGGCTACCAAGTTTGTTCAAATGAATGACCTTTGCCGATTTTTTCTGAATTACTTTAAACTTTAAATCAAGACGCTGATATTCTGCCTGTAGCTTTAATTTAGTCCTCTTGTTCCCTGATAGGGACAGTGTCTTGTATAAAGGAAGAGTTGGTCCTAATGAAGGCAGAGTGACAATGTCCCTGATAGGGACAGAGATGGTGTAGAGAAAAGGTTGGTCCCCCTGAAGGCAGTCAGAAACAGTGTACTTGATAGGGACAGAGATGGTGTAAAGGAAGAGTTGGTCCCCCTGAAGACAGAGGGACAGTGTCGCTGATAGGGAGAGAGATGGTGTAAAAGAAGAGTTGGTCCCCCTGACGACAGAGGGACAGTGTCCCCGATAGGGACAGAGATGGTGTAAAGGAAGAGTTGGTTCCCCTGAAGACAGAGGGACAGTGTCTCTGATAGGGACAGAGATGGTGTAAAGGAAGAGTTGGTCCCCCTGAAGACAGAGGGACAGTGTACCTGATAGGGAGAGAGATGGTGTAAAGGAAGAGTTGGTCCCCCTGAAGGCAGTCGGAAACAGTATACTTGATAGGGACAGAGATGTTGTAAAGGAAAAGTTGGTCCCCCTGAAGACAGAGGGACAGTGTCTCTAATAGGGACAGAGATGGTGTGAAGGAAGAGTTGGTCCCCCTGAAGACAGAGGGACAGTGTCTCTGATAGGGACAGAGATGGTGTAAAGGAAGAGTTGGTCCCCCTGAAGACAGAGGGACAGTGTACCTGATAGGGAGAGAGATGGTGTAAAGGAAGAGTTGGTCCCCCTGAAGGCAGAGAGAAATCTTAGCCAAATTTGGTCCAAACAACTCCTATTGTTTCATCCAAATTTTGAGAAACTACCAAAGATGTAATTATTTTTACCATACAAAGTTTTTCAACCTTTTTTATGGGAGTTTATATACCCATGAAGCAAAAGCCTTATTCAAGTCATCTTCATTTTGATTATATTATACATTTTGTCCAGAATATTGCTCAACGCACCTTTATATTTTACTTTCATAAAACTTGCAACACTTTGTCATCATTGAATATAACTGTACATTGCAGTTTACTGTATTGTTGTATATTTAGGGGGAGCATTGAGTATTACTTAGTGGTGTGGCTTATTCTCATAGAAAGAAAGAAATCATGTATCAATAGTGAAACCTATGCATAAAAATGAAATATCTAGATAAATGTTTGTATGCTCATAAACATGTTAATATGATGTCTTCATCTCCAATTCACATGTTAGCTGGTGTGCTGTCATTTATCATTGACAGTCCCATTTAAAACAAAATATCAGCTGTTCCAGCTCCAGTCTTATATTTTCTAATCTTTATAAATATGAAATGTGACCACTTCCCAGTTGAAATTGTTGTTTCCTTGTTATGCAGGCGTAAAGAGATATGTTGACCCGTTTGTTGGTGTCTTGTTTCTGAGCTGTGTGGTGTCTGTGATGGTAAATTTCCAATTGGAAATGGGTCATAGAAAGCAATGTAATGAAAAGATTTTTATTTAATTCCTAAACATTGCTTTGGAATCGAAATAAAGGTTGGGATAGGAGCATTGTGTATCTAGATTTCAGTAAAATCTGTCTCCTTGATAAGTCGTACTGTGTGCCCAATACTTGATATGCATTTATTTGGATAAAACTTGTACAGGTTTCCATCAGCAGTCACTGGCCTGGTTATACATATTGAATGAGGAATGGACTAAGACTAGGACAGAAAGCTTTGATGTATAGGCCAGTAACATGTATTTATGCATACAATACTTCCATCAATATTGGCCCCAGTCCTTCCAAATCAAACTAGTAAAGACTTTATTTACAATGAATTCTTAACACACTTGACCTTCAAACATGTATCCTTGATGTTAACAAACTGGGGTCGTTGACCTCAAAATTAAGTGTCCCTTGTGATTGTTTTCAGTCCCAATACGGCTTTACTGTTGCTGGGCCATAAAGCTACTAAATATCCAACTTGACCTTGAAACTTGTATCCTTGATGTTGAAGAAACAATGTGTCCTTGACTTTAAAACCTCATTGTATTCTTGACCTTAAAACAAATGTCCTTGATGTTTTTCTGACATTTAGCTATTGTACGTATTAGCTTTAAAGTGTGTTTGTGACTCAAGCCTAGCTGGATTCCATAATATTTTCTGAGGTACATTAATTGGTGCCTGTTATGAGTCGAGACCTGGCCCAGTTGTTGCTGGAAAGGTGTTTAAATTGACCATTGATTAGTGAAAAAAATCCAATTGCTGTCATTGGGAAACAGCAGCTTTAAAAACAAATGCAATTACCAAAATATATCAATTTCATCTGATTCAACAAATTAAGAGCAGTGAAAAAATATGAGATGTTCTTTATTTTTTTCTTCAACCAAGTCTGGGTGTTATACAGTAAATCACCTCCACCATACTATCACACCTTTGTTCTTGTTGTTATAGATGAACATAGCCGGGTGATACTGCCAGACAGTGAGTGGGACCCTTTGTCATCATACATCAATGCAAACTACATCAGAGTAAGTGGTTCATATTGGTGAAAGGCCGGAGTGAAGTCCAAGGCCAAGGGTCATTGCCAAGGTCAAGGTTATCAAATTTGATAGGCGAAACTTCCCGGCTCGAGTGGCATAAAAAATAAAAATCGCTCACTCAGCAATAACATTACAAAGGGACCAGTCGGTCTTCTAATGTTACGACATGTTTAATATGTACATTGTTTGTGTAGAAGGTAAACTTTTAGTAATATATTGCTCAGAGTTTTTGACAAAGCTTGGTCTTGTCCATAAGGTAATTGGTTTAAATGTCATTCATAATGTATAGATTTAAGTCAAGGTCATCTTATTTAGCTCACCCACCCGAAGGGCAAGTGAGCTTATGCCATGGTGCGGTGTCCGTCGTCCGTTGTCCGTCTGTCCGGCGTCAACTTTTTACTTTAACAACTTCTTTTCAGTAACCAAAAGGCCTAGGATGATGATATTTGGCCAGTAGCATCCTGGAATCAAGGGCTACCAAGTTTGTTCAAATAAATGACCTTCATTCATTTCAAGGTCACAGGGGTCAAATATGTTAAAATCTTTGAACGACTTCTTCTGAAGAACCAAGAGGCCTAGGGTGATGATATTTTGCCAGTAGCATGCTGAGATGAAGGGCTACAAAGTTTGTTCAAATGAATTACCTTCTCCAATATTCAAGGTCACAGGGGTCAAATATGTTTAAAAACTTTTAACAACTTCTTCTCAATAACCAAAATGCCCAGGGTAATGATATTTGGCCAGTAGCATGCTGAGATAATTTGGCTACAAAGTTTGTTCAAATAAATGACCTTCACTCATATTCAAGGTCACAGGGGTCAAATATCTTAAAAACATTAAACAACTTGTTCTGAATTACCAAAAATGCACAGGGTGATGATATTTGGCCAGTAGCATGTTGAGATAATTTGGCTACAAAGTTTGTTCAAATGCATGACCTTCACCCATATTCAAGGTCACATGGGTCAAATATGTTAAAAACTTTAAACAACTTCTTCTGAATAACCATGGGTCCCAGGATGTTGACACTTTGCAAGTTGCATCCTGAGATGAATGGCTATAAAATTTGTTCAACAAAATGACTTTGTTCAACTTTCATTCACAGGGGTGAAATGTTTAAAAAAAACCAAATACATGGTCTTTTGAATGAATTTTAATCATAAATACTGATATTTTGCCTGTAGCTTTATTTTAGATCACTTTTAAGGTTACAAGTTTGAGATTTATACCAGGTGAGCGATGCAGGCCCATTGGGCCTCTTGTTAAGTCCCTAAGATGGAAATGTCATTCGGGACATTTAGAAATACTTAATAGATACAGGATCATTAGGTGTTTTCAAATGAAAAACAATACTAATCAAGGTTTGTATTTCAACTGAAATATAATATCTTGAAATATGTTTCAGTTATAAACAACCTCTCAAAAATATTTTGGCATGAATTTCAAAGAAAATCTTAACTATTTCTTGATATGAATTTCAAAGAAAAACAAATCTTTTGCATGTATTCAATGAAAAACCAATTTCTTGATATGCATTTTGATGAAAAACAATATCTTGGCATGTAACTCATCAGATGATCTCTCTGAGCGTTAAGTAACACTCAGCCTCAGTACTGCACATTGAGATAACTTTCATGTAGAGTTGTTGAAACCATGAAATAGATAAATGTATGTATAGTATTATTCTAAGTCTTTTTTTAACCCTGTGTGATGATGCTGTGGTATTTTATGTGTCTATTTCATACCTCCTAGTAATCAAGTAGATATACTGTGGTAGGTGTTATGTCCTAAGGATTGGTTTAACTTCCAGAACCTGAATACCAGTGGATAATTCAGTTCGTTTTTAGGGGGAGGAATTTTCGGAATGCACTGCAGTGTTGATGGAAGAATATTAAGTAAATTGGGTTTTATATAAACATGATGCCAGCAGAAGTGATTTTGTGATTCCCCCAGTGCACATTTCGTGATAAATTGAGTTACTAGATAATTTTGATGCTAGTAAAAACAAATTAGACATATTAGTCATACCAACAGTTTCTTCTATTCATATTGAAAATAATAAAAATTAAAAGAGCTGTTTTTAAAGTATTTTAATCATAACAGCCCATTTTATAATTACTGCAGTTATAATTAATTCATTTTTTTTTTTTTTTTTTTTTTTCATTTTTGGTTTTNTATGTTTGGATTTCCAGCTGGGTTAAGGATATGATATTTAAGCATGCAGATAGGAAATTTGCTGTATAACATTAATATTCTCAATATATGTAATCGAATGCGAGAAATGTGCTGGGTTAAAGACGATGAAAATTATTTAATTTGTATATGAGAAATTTAGAGTATAACATTCAAATATAAGTATTGAGAACTTTGTCTGATGTTTTAATTCAGAGTAGTATGTAAGATTGAATATAAGAAATTTGCTGGTTTTGAAGAATGTATTGTCTTGTATCTACCTCATGCTTTGCACAGCGGCTTTAAGTTACAGTGTACCGTCCTTGTGTGTCTGGCTGACCTTTTAGTTACTGGCTGACCTATTAGTTACTGGCTGACCTATTAGACCGTAACTGAAACCCCAAAGTTATTCCTCCTCAGTAACTTCTAAATCTATCTCCTCAGCATTGAGCAGGGGGTCCACTGGTCAGTGGTCATTATTTCCTGTCGTTGACTGAAACATCTTAATCTTTCTTACTCTAAGTTCACGGCTAGTGCAGTGGAATTCTTCTGGCCTGGTACCGGTTCGATTAAAACGAATCTGGTTTGCTTGGTACATAATTTTCAAAGTAATTGAGTTCATACTTACATTTTTAATAGAAGAAAAAATGTCGTTACTTGTTAACTATGATATATTTCCTCCTTTCACTTTAAAGTTCATTTTAGATCAGATATTGGTATTGATCTGGTTTTAATTTATGAATGATATTTTTTTTTAAATCAAATTCAACCACAGACCTATGAAATAGTGTCGTTTATGACCATAAAAATTTAAAGTCGACAGAGAAGCAATTCATTGGGAGACATGTTCAGATTGCAGCAGAATCTTTACTGTATAATACGAAAACTGAACACATCTGGATCAGTTTCTGTATAATTAGCCAAATCACACCCATTAGAGCAGCGATCCTTCCACAGTAATTAGTTCCATCTACAAGACATTCCAAATGATACTAATTGTGAAGCAGGAGACTGTTTAGTCCAGTTACTGCTGTCTAATATACAGCTATTTAATTCTGTCTTCCCTAATTGGCAAACACTGGACAGGAAATGATGCTAATAATTTAATCATAGGGATATCCTTACGATATCTGTAGACAAATTAGTATTAAGTCTTGATTTGAATGTCGCTCAACAGTATAGCCAGGAATATTTGTCCTAAATTTGGAAGCTGTTACAAATTGGGCAATAATGTTCCAGTCAAGTAAACCCATTCCCAAGTACAGCTGACCCCTTTAGATTGTTAATTAACAAACAGGAGTTTTGTTAAACTATGAAAGAAGGACAACTCCTGTTTGTTAATTAACAATCTAAAAGGTCAGCTGTACTTGGGAATGGGTTTATTTGACTGGAACATTATTGCCCAATTTGTATCAGCTAGCTTCCAAATTTAGGACAAATATTCCTGGCTATATGATTGAGCGACATTCAAATCAAGGCTTAACACTAATTTGTTTACAGATATCGTAAGGATATCCCTATGTTCTTTCATAGGGTAGCAATGGCACATTTCTTTAAATAACCGGTCAGGATATGAGTGGACCAGTTGACTGCCCGAGGGCTAGTGAGCTTGTGCTGTGGCATGGCATGCATCATCTGTCTGACTGTAAATGTCCATCAATTTGTCCTTTAAAAAACTCTTCTGAAGAATGGACAGGCCTAGAGTCATGTTATTTGACTGGTATAGCTTCCTTGGATTAAGCCCCACACAGTTTGCAAACGAAAATGACCTTGATCTACTTTTAAGGGGTGAAACATGTCTAAAACTTCAAATAAACTTCTTCTGAAGAACTGAAAGGCATATAATATCAATAATTGCGTGGTAGCTCCTGGGATGGAGCCCAACAAATTGATCGAACGAAAATGACCTCAACTTAATTTCAAGGTCATATGGGTCAGAAACTATTAACAATTTCTTTTAAAAAACAGAAAGGCATGAAATTATAAAAATTTGCTGGTATCTTCCTGGAATGGAGCCCAGTTTGATGGATGACCAAGTTTGTTCAACTGAATGACCTTGTTAGACTTTCAAGGTCACCGGGGTTAAAATCTCTTAACAGGTTGTTTTTGAATGACAAAAAGTCATAGATAAGGATATTTAGCCTGTAGGTTTATTGAGGCTATTTTAATATATTGAATCTTTGTCCAGTTTTAAGCTTAAAACTGCAGATTTATAGCAGGACGACGATGTAGGCCCATTGTGCCTCTTGTTCTATGCTGCGTATAATAGCCCTGGCTCTGCGTCATAAGGAAATCTCACTAGACAGGGAAATGATCAACGTAAAATAGACATTCTCATTGATTTGATAAATGGAAAATAAAAACTTTCAATTCTCTCTCTTTCATTTTTAATCTGTTAACATTATTGGCCATTTGCTTTGTTCTCAAGCCCTATGGACTTCATCTCTGGCTGTTTGCTGTAATTCAAAGCAACATATCATCAGGTTCAATCAGGGCGATAATGCTTTATCTGCTTCAGTGCACGATGATGTAGGCATATTTACCTAGCTGTTGTGTGATCTACCCCCATACATCCAAGTCTATTTCCTCAGTGATTTATTTTCTACATTTAATGTGGTGCTATAGCAGACTAAAACCATTTCATGGACATTTGGCAAGATGTTCCAGTTTGATTTTGCAGTTGTAAATGGAAATTTGGAATTTTAGGAATATTGTTTATAGAATCTTTCTGTATCATGTCTGGAAGTTGTGGCATTGCATAGCTTTAGACTGATGTGATAGTACAACCACCCCTTTTTGGTCTGTATGTCATCCTC